GAGAGAGAGAGAGAGTCGGTGGTTAAAATTCGTGTAACTTGTATTAATGCCGACGTTTTGTATGTCTAGCATGGCTCCGAAGAAACCCGAGGAACCTGAAAGGAAACCGCTTATCGGTCGCGTTGGTACTAATTTAAAAATGGGCATAGTCGGGATACCAAACGTAGGGAAATCGACTTTCTTCAACGTTCTCACCAAGAGCCAAGCAGCGGCTGAGAATTTTCCCTTCTGCACCATCGATCCCAATGAGAATAAGTATCTTGATGTACTCGCTTGAATCTTGAACAATATTATTATTAGAATTTAAGAGTCAAATACATATATTTCCTTTCTTGTGTGCTTTATACATATTATACAAATAACAGTTAAGTTATATCTTATCTATTAATGATTATATTTATTTTATTAGTCAACTAAATTTTCGATTTTAAATTGCATTATTTTTTTTTATCGTACATACAACAAAATGGTAATTTAAACTACGCATGTAATATAAACAAATTTGCCTTCGCTTGTTTAACCTCGCTCGAATATAATTGACAAAATATTAAATTTAAATTATCGATACCAAATTACTGAGAATTAAAGAAAAATGTGCGACAAATTTTTGGAAAAATCAAGAGAGGATCATACAGTTTTTGTTGACGAATCGTTTATCACGAAAAAAGATTTTCTACTATTGATCGAAGATTCCGAGTGCGTACAAAAAATTCCTACACCTTCCTCAATCGTATATCCAAAGGCAAATTTATATTATGCCTTTGGCGAGGATGTGCACCCGATGAAAAGAATTATCGCCGCTTCAAAGTTTTTCGGAAAGGATAAACTTTTATCGCAAGTTGTGTCTTGCGAAGAGGATCTCTTTGCGAATGAGGATCTTGATTTGGAAGACAAAGCTGTAAATTGTTATCTTAGAATTCACCCAGCGAGTTTCGTTATTTTTGGGAAACCAGGATTGAATTTTGCCGATGTGGCATCAGCGATAGCCGAAGCTCAGAACTGCGTTTTAATTTCGCCCATATCACTGATTCAGGAAGAGATCGCTGCTTGTACTGACAAAGGTCGATATATGAAAAGAATTTTGCGGCTCGGCAAATCTGTAGGACCGGAAATCCTGATGACTCTGATACGACGTAGAGTTGGAATGAGAGATGTCAGGCACAGAGGTTACGTTATTGGATGTTTACCCTTCATTCCTAATGACCTAAGTTTCGTTTATTCCAATCTTGTTTTAGATGACACTTGCGAATTTTACGAAAACACAGCGGTTGAATCAAACGGTGAGGCAAACGAAGGTCGAATTACATCCGATGATTTAAGCTGCAAGACGAAATTCGATTACGAGGAAAGAATCTCACAACAGATTGATGAAATATTTACAACGTGGCCGATAAAACCTAAAATAATTATTTATCTCGTATGTCCGAAACAAGACGTCGCGAACGCGCTTCGGCGTACGAATCATCTGACAGATGATAGTCTCAATGAAAGCGAATTCGCGATAAAACTATTCGAATCCGAACACGACGATTGTGATTTCTCTCAAGTTGCAAACGAACGATGGATCGCGAATAATGATCAAAGTTTGATGAAAATAATATCCGATATAACGCGCAACGTCGAGATGCGATGTGATCTTTACGAGCGATTGGCGTTGCCAGTGATCGATAAATGGATCCTTACGCATGATCCTCAGCATGTGATCCGCGTGGACGGCCGCAGCTCCACGCAGCGAATACTTGAAATTGTCCAAACGCGTTTGTGCGCTTTGGCATTACTGCCGTCGATCCTTCCAAGGGAAATGATCGAACAGAATGACGTACGTTTGCTGGAAACATCTCCGAAGATAAACGTGAGCGATGAGCTTGCGGTAGAATTCGCTGAGAAGGCTTTCGAGATTCTGAAGCAAAGAGAGATCGTGTCTTCCAGATTCCCCTGGAGACTTTCCGCGTGGAAGTTTTACTGTCCTGTTGAGCTGGCTCAAGGGCGAACCGTTAAGGGACTCCCGAAGCATGCGGTGCGATTTCTGAATAAGATCTTTTTCCTTTCTTCTCGGGAAGCCAAGAACTTATTCATCGAAAATCCGAGGACATTTTTATTGCCACCGAATCCGCGGCCAACCTGCAAAATAGCGGTATTTGGGCCAAAGTACTCTGGCAAATCGGAACTTAGCACAACATTGGCAAAGATTTTCGGCGGAACAGTGATAAATGTCGATGAGGTTGTAAAAAAATCAATTAGACAATATGAAAAACCTCTGATTCGAGAATTACATGAGAACGATTCGAGTCCACAAATTTCGCTGAAGCCGTTTGACATATCAGCTGAAGAAAAGGCAGATATTATTATACAGAACATTAAGCGAATACCTCATGAAGAGCTGGAAGACGAACTTCGAAGAGATGGTGGATACATCGTGGACGGAATGTGTATGGACATCAAAGTCTGGCGAAAAATTGTTGACGACGCTAACATTATGTTTGAGGACATTGTCGTTTTGTTCGAAGACGAGCCGTACGCCTACTTGCTGAATAAATTTCTCATTCTCTCTCATCTCGATGATTCTCTAGATGACATGGAGGCGGAGAAACATGTAGCATTGCGCGAAGATGCGGAATGGGAATACCTTGAGCATTTAACGCGATTTGAATCGGAGTGGGCAATATTCGAGCAACAAATTCCTGAATCGAGAGAAAACATAATAAAGTGTAATCTTGCAAATATTAAAGATGTAACGGAATATGTGGTAAATTGTATTAAACGTCGTTTTGATGTCACGATTACCGCACCGAATGTCGAAGAAAAAGATAAAGGCAATGAGATTCCGAAAGAAACGGCAGAAAACAATACGAACTTGGCTAATAAAAATACTAAAGAAAAGGAAAAAAAAATCTCGCGTACACCGTCGATCTTGACACAGCTGAACGACTTCTCGAGTGCGGCTACTGTTTCTTCTACTGTTCTTTCGGTCGATGGTGTCCCGTGCAAATATACATCGACGAGATACCAATTCTAATGTTTCTACCGATGAAGGCTCGGGGCCAGATTTATCCAGTCGTACGTCATCCGTATATTTATTTTTTTTCAGGCGAAGAAGCACTCAACGCTTTTTTAAAGAATTCCTCGAAGTATCTCGCACAGGATGTCCGTCCGTCGCTTCTTCCGCTTCGAATTTCCATCATCGGACCGCCGAAATGTGGGAAAACAACATTAGCGAATCGTTTAGCTAAAACATACGGTATGAAAGTAATTACCCGCGGCGAAGCGTTACGTCACATGTTGAAACACTACCCTTGGACCGAGTCGGCACGAATAATCGAAAATCAGCTTCGAGCTGGCCAGGCTGCTTCGATCGAATCTGTAACGCGTGCCATCGAGATGTCTTCCATAGGACCACGCGCGGCAACTCAAGGTTACGTTTTGGACGATTGCCCTTCGAATCGTAAGGAAGCCGAGCAATTAGTTATTTTAGGAATGCAGCCGATGATCGTGCTCGATCTCAAGGCGGATCTGGACTTCTGTCTCGAATGCCTCGCTTGGGATAGCGACGACACAAAAAGCCCATTGAATTTTTCCGCCGATTTCCTATCGCGGCGTTACGCCGACTGGAAAACGAACCAAGCGAGTTTTCGAGATTGGCTGAAAAAGTTTTCGCAGAACGTGGTCGAACTGGATGCTACCAAGAGTAAATGGTACGTGTGGACTCGCGCGGATCACGCGGTGCGCTGCCGATTTGCCGACATCGTGCTTTATTCTCGTGAGGCGAATCTGGACAAGGTTCACAATTTGAGACACATGTGCGTATCACCCTATGAGTTCCGATCGCGACAGAGTCGATACGAGTCGTGTTGTCCCGTTTGCTTTTTCCGCGAGAATACCTTGAGGACTTCCGGTCAATTGGTGAACAGCCAAGGGATGGTCCAGTTCAGAGAATACTTTTATTGGATTTGTCCGCAACACATAGATACTTTTGTTAAAGATCCGCTGTATTATCTTTTGTCTGCCACTGTGCCTCTTCTAGATGAATTACCTCGAATACTGCAGGAGATAGTCGACACGGAACACGCTTGTTGGGCACAGCGTCTTCAAGTCGGCGAGTTGTGCCTAGTAACTTACGTCGATGGTTTACCGAAGCGCAACTTGACACGAGGCAGAGTCGATTTAGGTGTTATCTTCAAAGATAAGGTATATCTCTTCTGCAACGAAGAGTGTCGCGAAAAGTTTCTCACGCGGCCCGGCAAGTACTCCGAAATGGATATTGCTTTCCCTCGCGAACTTCCGCCGATCGAAGTGAGACATTTGCCGGACCGGGGCTTCCTGGAGCAAACAGTGGCGAAAACGCTGGTCGAGGCTGTAAATCTAGTCGCCGCTCGTCGTCCGAAGATAGCCGGTCTATCGGCAGTTGCCAGCGCGGCCGTTTGCATCGGCGTTTACTTGAAGATGCACAACGCAGTCGAGAACTCAATCGAAATGGATATTTATGAAGCTGTGAGCAAGCGAATCGCGGAACGAAATAGAATTATAGAGATCGCTACCGACGCTATGAAGAGAAAGCAGAATCCTTAAATATCTGTATCAAAATAATTTCGTTCAAATATCTCGTTATGCATCATTACATTTCATATCGATACGTATATCTAAATTAATCTTTATTATCTTATTATCTGATAAATATATATTTTTATTTGAAAAGCATATTATTTTACGTTATTGTCAAGAATTTAAGCTATCGAACTTCTTTTTTTTTCCAGCACGTCGCGTTCCAGTACCCGATGCGAGGTTTGACTATCTCTGCGAGTACTTTAAACCGGCTAGGTAAGAAACAGCGACGAATGTTCCCAAAGTACATTGAACGTAGCGGGTAAATGTGTATAACAGAATGGGAGCATATAGTACCGCGTAAAGATGCACCCTTGTGAAGGGAAACGAGTCGGAATAACCGGGGACATTTCCATACTTCTTCGCTTTTATTCTCCGGGAGGAAGACGGGAGACGAAGGGGAGGAAGAGGACGAGGGGCGATCTGCAATGCAGATTGGTCTAAATTCATCTACGAAACGCGAGGTCCCCGTTCGCTGCACCATTCCTTATTCGCCTTAGCACGTGATGCGGCATTCTTAATGCGAGCAATGTCGACGGTGGATTTTCGAATAAAACAATCGGCCAAATAACACGACGTCGGCGTCCATGGATGATGGCACTTTGAAAATAATATAGCATCGATCGCAAAACCGGCAAGCCGGTCATTTTCGATCACGATCGTAGGCGTGATCGACGTGCCATCGCGCGCGCGTGCGAGAGAGAGAGAGAGAGAGAGAGAGAGAGAGAACGCGCGTTGCCCGGCGAGAGAGTCGAGGCAGTTATAAAACTCCGCTCTCCTCGGTCGGGCTTCATGCGCGAATGCCTAAATGTAAATCGTGCTTGTCTTGCGCCAGATTCGACGGGAATCGGGGACATTGAAAATGCGAAACAGCGTCGGATCAAAGAGCGGCCGATTCATCGGTGCCTCTCGCCCGCCCTATTATCGTTTGCGTTCTCGTCGTCTATGTATCGGACCGACCCCCGACTACCGGCACGTGTCAGATGATTCGACGATCCGTGATGAAAGCCGGCTAATACGCCGTCTCCCTCCCTCCCTCCCTCCCTACCTCCCTCCCTCTTCCCCCAGTTTACTTCCACTTTCGCCAACGCCTCCCTTCAAAGGCTAATTGTTTAATGAGCCCGTTGGCATTAGCATTTAAATACACCTCGTTGTCACTGTCGTCCCTCCCGTTTCCATTCTGCGCGCGTGCACATCACGCGGCACATGCCTTCGACCTTTAATTCGCGATCATCAGTGACCTCCAGTTGCGAGGGACTCGGCGCGTGGACGCGACAAGCGTGGCCCGCGTGTCCTCGAAATAATCCACCCCCCTCGTGTAATGACAGATTACATATTTAAGCCCAGATTTAGATTCCGATGGGGTTTTAGATTGAATAAAGCTGGGCCGTCCGACATTCGGTTTGCGTCGGATGATAATTGTAATTAGAAATTTGATTTTTCAGCAAAGTCCCGGCCTTCCTGCACGTAATGGACATCGCCGGGCTGGTGAAAGGCGCCTCCGAGGGACAAGGCTTAGGAAACAGTTTTCTCTCGCACATCGGAGCTTGCGACGGCATATTTCATCTTTGTCGTGAGTTACATCACCACTTGAAATGTTTGCCGTTCGTCGCCACCCTCGTCCAATGTTCACTTGATTTGTTTCCGTCATTAATATCGTTTTAACGTTCGCGCTGACATATGCGATACACCCTCGTGTAAATGAATAAACAAATAAATAAATCGCAGAGAGGGACTTGTTTTCACGGAATACATTTCGAAGGCGAGATCGTGATAAAAGCGATTACGGCGAAAGAGGGAAATGTTCGTCGATGAGATCGAGAGATTAGTCTCGAGGGATATTTATTTAACTTCCTGTTGAACGTGTAATTGCAAATGTAAACTTATTTTGATGACACACACACTTCGTCGGCGTTACAAACACGCGTTGTTATCTATCTTCATGGAAATGCATTATTGTTCTTTCTACGATAAGACCGAACAACTTGCGCTTATTTTTTAACAAATATCTTTGTCGCATCTGTAAATAATAAATAATAAATGAAGTAAGAAATAATAGCGATGTGTATATTTAAAAGATTACAAAAGGATTAACTTTGTATAGAATTTATGTTTGATTGTCAGCACATATTTAGTGTGACAATTTTGACCAATTATTCTAGAAAGAAATTTAATTTGAGATGTAGTAATAATAATTCTGTCGTAAAATATGAAACTTAGATATTTGGAATATCAGATATCGCAATTTTCTTTATAACAATATGTTCTGAGATAATTAAAATTATATTGTAACTTTTTGTTACTATATTTTTTTAAATGGAAAGTATATGGAAAATATATGGAAAAATAAAAAAGTGGAGGTGTCTTGTAACGAAAGAAAAAGCACATACTGTAAATAAAATTTCTCATGCGCAAGGAATGTAAGAATGTTGTAATCCATGTACTTTACATGGCGATAATGTAGCACGTGGTAATTCGCCGAACCTCTGCTGATTCGTCAGAGCGAGAAAACGATTGTTAGGTGTATATTATATTCATACTGAAAATAACATTTCGAGGTAGTTCTGCCGGTTAATACGCCTTGGCAGGCCGCTGACAGGTGGTAATTTTTTCAATTAAACCAACCCGGCAATCTTCGCGTGGCGGTGGCGGCGCGGCGGCTCGTTTAAAAACGCCGACATGCGAGTTTCGCATTTCGAGGCGAGCGTCACGGGCATCGCAGTCCCAGTTTCGGGATTATTCGTTCGCCCGCGAAATCTGAATTCACTTGTATCGTATTAGGTGCCTTTGAGGACGACGATGTCACCCATGTGGAGGGTGACGTCAACCCCGTGAGAGATCTCGACATCATCAGCGAGGAGTTACGACTGAAGGACGTGGAGTTCTTGAATGTACACCTCGAGAAGCTCGAAAAACTTGTAATACGTGGTAACGACAAGAAGCTGAAGCCTGAATATGTGAGTAACCTAATTATCATGTTTCAAAAATCTCTTCTGAAAGAAAAAAAAAAAGCATCACAAAAATGTATCTTCGGTATTTTTCTAATTCTTAGAAATGAAAAACAGATAAAAAGTAAGTTAAATCGAGATCAAAAATTAATTTACATTAGTAAATTGACATTGGGACGTTTATTGTTTACTCTGTGTTTACTCTGTATTCTCCGCATATAGAATAGCATACATTATCCTAAGCTATCGCGATTTCGTACTGGAAGGCAGAGTCAAAAATTGCTACGATATTGATAACAGTCCAATTGACCTATTTCCATTGTTGCATAAACAACATGCTTACTTCCTACAAACGAGAATATACAATCGCGAATATAGAAAGCGAATCACGAGATTCGCATTTGATGTACTCGACCGTTAATTTTTCTCACGGTGTAACGCTTCACTTGTTACATATCAAAATTTACGCATATTTATACGATACCATGAGGTCGTAATGTGACATAGGTATATATTCCTGATACTACTTACATTTCTGAAAGGCCAACATCCTCTATTTATTATATATATATATATATACAATCGATTTCTCACTTACTCAAACTACTTTTTATCACGAGAGTCTAAGGAATTTCCTTGCGTTCTTTCCCCTTCATTCAATGTTCATACGAGACACATAAACGTCTACCGAGTACAGTTACAGCCCCCTTTGTCAGGCTAACTACGAAATTACCGAGAAAATTAAGAGAACGCGGGCGAAGCAAGGCTTCCTGGAACGAGTCGATCGTCGGATCACCCTCCTTCCGCGGATTGACCCACGGCAATTACCGATCTCCCCCTCGTTCCCGACTTTGCAATTTGGCAAAAGTTTTCGAGAATTCGAAGCTACCTTTTCGTCCCCCTCTCTCTTTCTCTCTCGGCAGGACTAATGGGATCCGCGGCGCTCGACTAGTCCAGTACGATCCTCTAATCACGATTCGATCGCGAAATTATCCTACTCGATGGCCCGCGTTCGTGCATCCAAATGTCTGGCGAGATCGACGAATGTCGAAATTGTTACGTTCGATTGTCGAGGAATAAGCCTTTACGCAACGGGAGCCTGAGGGGGTCTCGGATTAAATGGAAATTTTCATTTCGCAGGACACGCTTCTGAAGGTAAAAGGTGTTCTGGCGGACGAAAAGAAACACATCAGGTTCGCAGATTGGAGTGCCAACGATGTGAGTTGAAAAATTTTACATATACTCCGTTGTGAATTATTTAAAAGAGAGCTTTTTATTTCTTTCTTCTTTACATCACGTTTTCAAACTTTTAGATCGAAGTGCTGAACAAATATCTGTTTCTCACGTCAAAACCAATTATCTATTTGGTGAACCTGTCGGAAAAGGATTACATACGTAAGAAGAATAAATGGTACGTGATTTAAAAGAAACGGCGGTGCGAGACCATATTCCCACTTGTCCACAATCGTTATATCTTTTTCAATTCTTTCCAACAGGTTAATCAAAATAAAAGAATGGGTCGACAAGAACGATCCGGGTGCGGTGTTAATCCCTTTCAGCGGCATCTTCGAAAACAAGATTCTCGACATGGACGAGGCGGAGCGCGCAAAATACTTCGAGGAACACAAAGTCACCAGGTCGATATCCACCAGTTTCCGCAGTCCGTTATAACGATTATTAACTTTTACCCTCTAAATGTTGTTGTGTCGCGCTCGCAAATAAGAGGGTACAGACCCGCGTCGTTTACCGCCGCCTTAAAACTTAGAGAAACTCGGTAGTCTGCGGCTCGCATACGTCGCTCGTTGCCAAGTTGGGGACGAAGCGCCGCAAGATTGCAGGGAAAAAAAGGTGGTCGGACGTTCGTAAAATCCGACGCGAGCGCGGGGTCTCCCTCGACCGACTTTCGGTTCCCACATTTAGCTATGCACCGAGTTATTCTCTAACGGTAATAATAATGGTGGGCACGCTCGGCGTCTAGACTCAGTCCCACTCTCACCATGTAGGACGGCTAATAAAAACCGTGGCCGGCTCGGCGCATTATATTTTTACGAACGGCTATTCAAATTCTTGCAAAATTGCATAAAAACCCCTCCCGCCCCTCGCGGGCACGCCGGTATAATCGAGATGGTGGGTGGAGCGAGAAATAATCGGCGGTGGTTCGGCAATTCGATTGGTTAGCGGGTCATTTGTACCCTAGGGCGGTACGTGCGTTGCACGTGGTATGTACACGCGTGTGTAACTTGCGTCGCAATCTCTTTTTCCCCCCCCCTTTTTTTTACTTGTCAGAGTAAATTTTAATCGAGCTTACACGGTACAATTATAGTAATGAGCCGAGGCCTTACAATTAGGGCATTCAACAACGTGAAATTAAATCGGATATCGCTGGAAAATATTTTGATAAGCAAAAAAGAAACATGGACGTTGGGAAATATCTAAATATTTAAAAGATACAAGAATGAGCAAGGATGGAATATATATTTTCTGTAATATTCGTTATATAATATTTTACTCGGATTTTCGCGCGGCAGCGTGGAAGCATAAGAGAATCCGTTAAGATATCCCAAGTCTGCCTAATAATCGGGGAATTCAAACGAAGGGACGGAAGATACCGTGATTTTATTTCCGAGACCGCAGATAACTGAGGGGGACACCGGGAGAATAGGTCCCCGCCAGAGTCAGAATGATAAAATTGCGGTATTAAGTCGTTCGGCTTTATGTGTATTCTCTGAACTCTCGGACTTTCGTCGGGTCTAACGCGCGTTTGGACAGGATGGCTCCACTTGCGCCAACCTGTCATTAGACGATATTTGGCCCGAGACAATCTTATTCCAGAACATGATGCTCGGACACCTCCCGCCTTGACTGCGGATGCGCGTCATTTTTTTTCCGTGATTCGTGATTCGCGGAATGTGGAAGAACTTATGTCTCATTGTGTTCGGTGTGAGCGCGACAGATAGATAATAAAACCATCTCAATAAAAAAGCACATTTACTTATATCTTTTATTTCTGTTCAGTGCACTCGACAAAATCATTGTACAAGGATACAAAGCGCTACAGCTGCAATATTTCTTCACATCCGGACATGATGAAGTGAAAGCGTGGACAATTCAGGTAAGCACAGATTCATATTATAATAAAGATTGTATATTGTTTTATTAAATTTTATATTAATGTCAATAAAAATGTATAAAATAATTTAAAATTACATATTATTAAATATTATTGATATTCATAAGAAAGATGTAGCGTCTTTTTTTTATCCATTTATTATAACGTGACTGACGTAAATAAATTAAATTTTATCTGCGTCAGTTTAATTTGTCGATATTTATTAATATAATAATTTATTAACACAACAATATAAAAATATGTTCTGTTTGTTTCTCAGAGAGGTACGAAAGCACCACAAGCTGCTGGAAAAATACACACGGATTTTGAAAAGGGATTCATCATGGCAGAAGTGATGAAATTCGAAGATTTCAAAAATGAGGGTTCGGAAGCAGCAGTGAAAGTAAAACAATTTTTATATTATTAGACACTACACAATATGTTTCCTATCTGATTATTAAATACTTTTCATTTTCTTACTAGGCCGCAGGAAAATATAGACAGCAGGGACGTAACTACGTAGTTGAGGATGGCGATATTATTTTCTTCAAATTCAACGCGGGTGCCGGATTAAAGGATGCAAAAAAGAAGTGATGGCACGCGTTTCTCATGTTGTTGCTCGTCCATCTGTACATCAACATGATCCTGTTATCTTGTTGCATGCATCACCCACGCGTCAATCAATCTAATCCGCTTCCCGATCCTCCATGATTTTTTCATTTATGATAAGTATATACATTGATGACAACAATGATAATTATTTTTATATTTTTATCCCACGTAAGAAATTAATCGTGCTCACGATATGTTTGCAAGATATTTTATTAAGATGAAATGTCTTGTTTAAAATTACGTGCAGAAAACACACTCAATATCTGCATATGTTTCTTTTTAAAAGAACATTTTGTGCAAAAGAAAGGTGGCACTTTGATGTTTATTTGTGTGTACATAATTAGCTTTTCGTAGATCGCATTATGTATTTTTTATTTTTATGAAAATACGCAGACAAAAAAAGGAAGAAAAGTGAAAAAAAAAAGGGAAGAATGTGTACGTAAAGCATTTCTTTGTACTCTTCTGTATTTATTCTACAAATATTAAACTACATTGACGTAAAAGGATTGCAGCGTTCTCGTAATTTGTAAATATGCTGTATGTGTATCAAGTTACGACAGTTATTCTAATGAACTACTATCGATAAATACATTAAATATATATTTGCGTAACATAATCGCGATAATTTATCCTCTACGTAGAATAATGTATGTGATTACACAGTCAACCTCTAGATGGCACGAGAAATTCACATTTTGCTTCTTTGGTATAACAATTATACAAAGTTATAGAAAAAATGATTCCTAATTTTCTCTCCATCGTCCTTTTAAGGCAATATAAATGTCGTAAGAGAAAAAAATATTCTTTTGATTATTTGCATCATGATTGGTGTTAATGAGAATTTACTTTTTGATCACTTTATCTCCTTTTATTGGATCACGTTTCCAGCTGTTGTTAAAAACTTGATCAAAAAGTCGAGATTTTAGCCACTGATAAAATTCTATCTCTTGCGCAAGCACTTTGTTTAAGACTGCGTCCTTGAATCGGGAAAGGACTGCATCCTTTGTTGAGGAAATGGGCCAATGCCTCTCTTTTGGTCCTGTATAATATGAAAAATAGATATAAAATATCAGACAGAGAGGAACGCTCGATCGGTAAGATACATCATATAGGTATATGAACAGTAAACATTTATGAGCACTTACGAAAATGATCATAGATACGTGTAGCACCCTTAAAAAAATAAGGAAATTCGACTGTGAGCGCGTTTAACGACTCCTCCATGTAATCTAATATGCCAACAACAGGATACCATCGAATAACATTTGCTTTAGCTCGCTCCATTGCCCACGTGTTATTTTGTTCTCTAGATGAAAATGTGTGTAGCATAAAAATCAACAGCATTTAATTTTTTTCATTCTACCTTATTTTTCTCCGCAAAGATGCTTATCTTTATTTAATGTCTAAATAAATCGGTAAAGAAATGCTTGTGCTTTGTACACAATAAAATATTGCGAGAAATTGTGAGATTTACTAGATTTTTTTTCAATATAATAAAAATGTCAACCATACTCACATACAACGCGGATCCTGTCCGCAAAAATAAGATATAACTCCATGGTAAAACAGTTTTTCTTTTTTGTACCTAAATCAAAACAAAATATTGTTTTAATATAGAATTTTATTACTTTTCGATGTTATTTCTCCCTCCTCCTCTCTTTTTCTTCCTCAATTTTTAAAACAACATTCTATTTTATATATACCTCTGCCAAACTTGTGGATCCAATGGATTTCTCACTAAAGATATAAAAGTGGGTCCTTGCCGTCCAAATTCCGAGAAATTTATGAACCTTACGTCTCCATCAAAAGTTAAGGGAATAGCTTCTTGTCTGATGATACTCGTAATTTCTTCTACCAACAACTCCTGTCGAATCAAAAACATGTTATGATGGCAACGTGAATAAATTAAAAAAAAATATATTAAATGTCGTAAGAGGAAAAAATATTCTTTTGATTATTTTGCAAAAGGACTGTTACATCAAAGAGCGACATTATTGTATCCGATATGATGTAAAAATGCATGAAATTCGTGAATAATAATCTTTATAATTAATATTAATTTAATATTCTGAAATAAATAGCGCATATAAAATTTTTATTTTTTTAAACAAATTAGATCCGGCATTTCGATTTGTATTAACTTCTAGGCTAACGTGAAATCTAGGGAGAAATTTCGAATTTCGAACCTGCTGCGAATTCGACAAGAGTCCGTGGTCACTCGACGGCAGGCGTATGTGCTTGAAAGCATTGTATCCCTGCAACCGCTGCAGGATCAGCACCATCAACTCGGCGCCCGCACCAGGTATGCGTGTCAGCATGAGGACGTGCTTCTGCTTGTATGGCAAGTCATCCAATTCGGCGAGGGAAGGTGTGACGTACCGGTGCGTCTGTTCGGAACGATCGTGTCAAGCGTTACTTCGTGCGATCGTAGCATTTTGCGAACGTGAACAAGCAGATCAATATCCTATCCATATAAAATCGGAAGCAATTGATCACGTGGAATCAATCATGTGTGAACTGGAGAGAATTCGGAGGTATTCGGTACGATCAATGTAATGGAATTTCCGTAATGTAATGGAATTTCCTAGTAATAGTATTCGCTTTCGCTGCATCGCGCACAACTCACGCTCGAGGAATGCATTCTCACGTTGCGCAAGCACGACTCATCTCCGGTACATTGCTCCGAAATCCGCATTCACCGCTAACTCATTAATTATTAATTAAATACAGAATTAAAATCGAGATAATTGCACGCGTTCTGGCTTGATATAGCACCTGGAAAACACTCGATTTCTAAGATCGAGCGAATATTTTAAAGTATAGAGGACACAGCACGGAGAATTTTTTTTTTTTTTTTTCTCAATTGAAACGCTGGATCGACGCAATCTGATCCGAGTCTTATTTGGCTTCACCTGATTGCGGGTGATCCATGGATCATCGGCACGCGCCGCTTCCTGCTCCTTCGATGCGCTACGTTTCTCGACGGTAATCGCGGGCCCGACGAAATCCGTGGACGATCTCGCGTTCAGAACGATAAAGACTATTGTCAGACACGTCAAAAGCAATAGCAGAAAACCGCGATTTCGACGCATTCTCTTAAGTCGCCCGAATGTATTTTCGATATGTGTGTGTGTGTGTGTGGGGCTTCGTAGATTTTTTTTCTTCCGAGAGAAAACTCGGCGCACACGCGGATTATCGAGGCCACCGTCGAGTAACTGAGGAGAATGTTAGTGGGTCAGGACTCCGCAAACTGCATGATCTCTACATCTTCGCCGCAGCCTACGACCCCCACCGATCGGTTGATTGGGTGAAACGCAACATTTCACTTTCCAATGCGTGCTGCAACGAGCAGTCGTGTTAGCACATGACTAATCCCTAAGGGCGCCCTTGGTCAAGCTTAACTTATCGAATATAATAATAATAATGCCAAAAAGATTAATTAGATTAAAGGCGGAATTATATTAAATATTTTGCTGCGAGTAATTCTGATTCTGATTCTGATGGGTTGAAATATGTTAATCTTGATCTTATGAAATTATGTGAAAGTTTAAGATAAAAATAGACTTAACAAAAATTTTATTTTTAATATTTAAATCATGGAAAGAAGAGGATTCCCTTTGAATAACGTATTACAAGCAGAAATTAAAGTAACAATTTCGTTCGAGTAATCGATCGTCCAGCAGACGAAAAAATTGTTTGTCAGTCATTTTGAATTTTAAGTTTTTTTTAAATTAAATAAACAAAAAGATGACAATTTCAATATTCTTGGAAAAGGAAACTTTAGATCTAATTTTCGAATATATATATATTAAAATAATATGAAACATTTTTCACTTTTTCTTTTTTAAAAAAACTGATTTTTGACAGAACATCAATCTGAAGGTGACAACTACAAATTTGGCTACATTTAAATGGCCACAAACCGATGATAAATTTTTTTCGGTTTCCTTGTTTCGAACTGTCGTTACATTTTATTGTTACATGTGTCAACGAAATTTATATTAAGCAGACATTTGTAAAATTTGTTTTCGACAAGCGAACAAGGAGGGATTCCTCGACAATAGGAATACATTGTGTCGTTCGAAAGCGTTGCTGATCGAACAGGCTCATCGGACAAGCCGGGTGCCGGGACCGGCCGGTGCGGTGGCGCAACGATCCACGTGTTACACGCTCTTCTCGATCTTTCTACCGACGGGTCTATTTGTAAACAGCGCGACGTAAGATGGACGTGTACGAGTCCCGCAGAAACGACTGGGAAGATTTCGACGTGTCACGGGAGGAGCTGAAGAACATAGCCGACTGCCTGAAGAAGGAGGAGTTTCGCAAGCTGCTGATCGAATACGCGGAGGAGGTGGCCGACCCGGATAACAGGAAGCTCTACGAGAAGGAGATCACCCAGCTCGAGAAGGAGCGGGGCGTAGATGTGACGTTCGTTAACCCCGAGCCCGGTTACGTCATTAAAACCAGTGTGAATGGTGACAGGAAGTGCTTTCTGAACATCAGCAAGAACGACGTTGTCGCGCGGCCGACCAGTCAACCCTCGTACGAGCAGGGTCATCGTGGTTTACAGTGGTCTATTCCGTATACGTTGATACCACCGCGTTATGACCTTGACAAGAAGAATGTGCGCTGCATGGTGTTCGACGTGGTCTTCCACCCGGACACCATCTATCTGGCGTCCAAGAACGCTCGCTTCCGCGAGATCGTCAACAACACGGCGATGGACGGTGTGGAGAGTAACTTTAAGGTTCTTATTGTATATTTAAAAAATTACACTGCGATTTTGTTTTTGTAATTGCTGTATCTAATTCGTATTCTCTGTTTCCCTAGGTGAAGCTGGACAAGAAGAATCTGAAGTTTCCTAAAATCAGTTTCAAAGGGATGACACATCCTACGGTGATCAGGAAACCTTCGGAGGAGCCGCCAAAAGAACCATTGGATATAGAGCCAGAGATCTATCAGAAAATAATGTCGAATTACGATGAAAGTCGTGAGAGCTTCTAAAGCGAAAGGAGGAGAAGTCGCAACGTGTCCCACCTGTCACCACCTATTACAAGTGCAAGGAGCAAAAGCCTGTGGATGAAAGATATGTTACTCCCAAATTTATTATCAAACATCAGTCTGATGTGGAAATGGAGGATTTTGTTTTGAGCAGAGATGCAAAGATGTTTGCCACGATCCCTAAAAGATTGGTGATCACCATAGATTTGCCTCTGTTGAAAAGCGCCAACGATGCGACGCTGGATATACATGAATGGGCTCTTACTTTAAAAAGTGAAAAGCCTGCAAAGTACTTGTTAGATTTACCATTACCGCATCCCGTAGATGGAGATAATGGAAATGCTAAATTTGATCCAAAGTATAAAAAATTAATTGTAACTTTACCGGTTATTCGGCCAACGATACCAGTAGATGGCATCAGTAGAGTGAATTGTGAGATTGACAGTGATCAAAACGGTCCAGTAACATCTAAGGATGAAGAAAAAAATTTACCCAATAATAAAATAGAGTTAGTGAAAGAGTGTGAAAGCACATACGAAAATGTCGAATTTGATAAGGAAAATAAATTAACAGACAAGTGCGAAGATACTGCCTTACGGACTAGTAATACGACAGAAATTGCTGATGAATTTATGAATCCTAGTGTTAAATATAACCTTCCTGCTTATACTTGTAATATTTACAATAATCAGTTAGCCATTATTATAAATGTAAAAAACGTAAATCCAGATGCGATACGCCACAAAATTTTAGATAATAATGTAGGAATACATATCTTGTTAACGTCTGTAGGCGCCGGATTTTTTCCACAATATTATTCGTTGTGTTTTAAAATAGAAAATGGCTGTATTGAGCCAGAAACTCTTACGATTGAACCATGGGATAATAATGTTGTGTTTAGCATCACAGTGAATAATATTGAGGATGTAACACAATATTTCGTTGGAGTGGATATGGAATTTATGGAAAGAAAGGATCTTCCCACAGCGGCATCCTTTACAAACAAGTTTAAGGAATTAATGGTAAAACATTAAATGTATTACATATTTAAAGAATGTAAAAAAAAAATTACATTTTATCTATGATAAGTTTATCTATGATAATGTTTTTACAGTGCTCTACAAAAGACGAACCTCAGGTGGAAAGACAAATCTCTGTACAGCCACAAGACGATGGCGTTGTTATAAATATTCATCCAAATCAACAAGATTCTGATGATGAAGAGGAACAAGAGAGCGCAAGAGTTGTGAAGCGACAAGAGAAGAAGCATGTCATCGAGAAAGCTAGATCAGTTTCAGAAAGCAGTGGGGATGAACTAGCAAGCAATAGTAGTAACAGCAGTGCGAGACTTTCGAAGGGAATATTAAAGTCACGCCGTGCTCGCGATTTCTCACGTTCCATGTCTGAATCAAGCGCCGATGAAAACAGCCTCCCTGCATCATGCACAGATTATAATTACGATCATTACGATTCCATACACGATGTCAATTCTGAATCAGATTGTTCAAGTTTAAAAAAGACTGTACGATTTAACGATGTAGTTTCACGACAGTTATTTAGGTATTGTAATACAGAGCAATTAACAATTATCTTCTTAAGGAAGGAGGGTGTATTTGAAAGTAATCAAACAGAAGTAATCATCAGAAAGTAGCCAATTATAAGAAACAAAATTTTATATAAAATTACATATAAGAAATTATATGTGAGAAAAAAAAAGATAATATAAATTTAGTAATTTAGTAATGAAAAAAAGAAATATAAAAACAAATAATTTTGCTTTATGATATTGCAAATGCATCCTCTTTCTACAAGTATTAATAATTTTAATAGGAATAGTAATAGAGAGAGCTCACTTATGTAATTTTTTTAGATCCAATTCGAGTATTCTTGGACAACGAAAGAAGAATCAGCGCAAACTACGAAATAAGAAACGCGCGCATGATCGCCGACTAAGCGAAAGTGAAAATTCTGAAACTGAAGAACGTGACAAGTATAAAGTAGATTATAAGCGTTCTTCGAGTGAAGAAACTTCTGAGAACGTGAAACCTATACTCGCTCGAGATAAGAATTCGCAGCAACAAAGAACCGCCAATATTGAGATTGCAAAATCGAAAGATGATGACAAGCATTCTTCATACAAACGTAAATCTAGCTTCGAAGAAAAATCCACTGAAGATGTTCAAGTCGATACCTCGATTAAAGCCACGAAAGATGTAGTTCAATTGGAATTTAAGAATGATCTGATATTCGATCTTGATATGTAGATATGAACTACAAGGTAATTATACACAATGTGATAGGCACAATCGAGAATGTTATTGCAATTTTTTGATAACTTAGTAACTGACAACTTGACGCTAATATCGTACATTTTCAAACTATATATAACATTGCAAAGCTAATTATTTTAAGATTTAATATCAAAGAAATTATTTAGATTGAAATAATTTTCTAGCGCGTTATTAGTATAGAGATAGTAATTACAAAAGCATTATGGCGAATCAAAATTATTAATTCATTCAAATAACCGACTTGAATTAATAATAAAATAATGTAGTATTAAAATTTATTTCTAATATTTCTAATATAAATAGATAAAGAGAAGATTTTTGCTTAATAAATATATCAACTCAAAAGATAATCATATTAAAGTAATCAGATAATGGTAATGCTGTATGGTGAAATATTTTAATTAAAATCTTTTAGAGAAAATTAATTAGAAATTGAATGAATGTAATGATTCAGCCAAGAAATATATATACTCTTTTTTTCATGCACGTTAAATATTACTGCCACATAATACATGTGATTTCTACTCGTAGATAATGCTTGATTAAATCAAGATCAGATGATAAGCACAGATAGAACTTTGTAGCTTTGTGATAGAAACGTATAATCTTAATGAAAATTGTACGTAAATTTATGCAAAAGTATGTTTAATCTTCGTACTATATATATATATATATATATATATTCTTACGCCAAGAGTCTGCAGACATAATGCGTTGCAACGCGAGCGCCTTGCCAAAAAATCATGATATGTAATGATAATAAAAATGAATATGGCTTCGCTTCGAAAATTGCTAATTACGTGGCGTAGAACTTTTGATGCCTAATGTTATCTAAGTCATTTTCTTGTATAAATATCGAAAGTTATCTATTTGAAGAAAATTTTTTTATTGGAAAACATTTTTGCGAAATTGAAATATTTATCGATTTGATATATTATATATTTTGTAAATTAAATTAAATGTATATAAGTTATTTTGATCTGGTAACCGGTAAAGAAACGTTTACATATCTGCACTCTCAATATACTCCATTCCTAAGTTATACATCGTGTTTAAGGTTTTTTACTCGTAAGCATACACAGTCCGTATAATACATTCATGCAACAATATATTCGTAACGATTCTGTAACGATATAATATGAATATGAAATAAACAGAACCGCAAATGTTGTTATAGTTGAGATATATTATTCTCGGCTCATTATGTTCATAATTAGTTATAATATTTAATATCAAAAACCAAGAATGTATTACGAAAAGGTCATTGCTACGTTTGAAATTTTTTATTGAACATAAATATTTTTTATGACGTATTTTTATTATTCGCGGATTGATTCTACATTCTGATAAGTAACGTTGTACTTAAAATTTCTTAAAAACTGTTCAAGATTTCCGTTGTCGGAGTATTGGTATACTGATATACTGAGGAGGATGAAATTGGAGTTTTCCAACTGCTGATCTGGCGAATGCGGACTACGTCGATCGTGTGTCACGGCGCGTATCCGCGAAAACGTCGAGTGCCGGGTCGTGCAAACCGCCGTGACACGATGTGCAAAAGCAGGAGCCATAGGGCAAGAACGGCGCGACGGCGGAACGTGGTGATCGAAAAGTAGGGCACGGCCCACGGCGGAAACAACCGGGCCGCGCTCTCCGAGCCCGCGCCGCGGGATGAGAGTTCGGCCCCCCCCCCGGAGTTCGAGACCATCGATCCCGCTACTCGCGCTGGTGTATAAGGTCGTTAAACTAACCCCGGTCTACCCTGCGCGGTATCTTTCGCCGCATCGCCGCATACTTCCTCGTATTATTCCTATTGATGTACCATCAGGAGGGAGACCGGACGCGACGCGATGTTCTAATTTCGCGCGATCACGATCGCGTCGGTTTATATTGTCGTCGGTTCGTCGTCGCCTCGTTGCCAGCGGGTCATTTTAAGTTTCAACCAGGTTGCTCATTGCGACGCGTTGGCGAGGCGAATCTCGAGGAACGGAATCTCAGCGTTCTCGTTACGCAATCTTTAATGAGGCGTATCTTCTGCGGTGTTCATTTACAGATTGCTAGGCTTTTAATTAGAAAAAGAAGTTATAGTAAAGCTCTGACATTCTTTCTATGTATTTTGAATGAGACTGAACTGAAACTCGGCAGTGTCGATCACGAAAAATCGACTGTCCCTCAATCGAAACGCGGCAGGTCTCCCCAATGCGGTTTTGCGATTGTTGAATTCCTCGTTAATGTCTTGAAAATTCGCTCATCCGGGGATGATCCTTTCGTCGCGGCGAGATAATAATATTTATATAGCGATCCACGTCGAACACACCGCGGTTTCCCCCGAATACAGCCGGAGGGATGTTTATCCGATGCTGGAGGAGGATAACGAAGAAATAGCGAGATCCAATTTCCGAATGCTTGTCGGGACAACAGGTGATTGAAGTATACGGGATTAAGGGTGGTAGGCCTGACTGGCATCAGGTCGATAAGCCCCCGTCCACCCCCCTTAAGGTTCAGAAAGTCGGTGGCCTGTACCGTGCGAGGGTACACGGAGAGAAGACGGAGAGAGAGAGAGGGGTGGGAGGGAGACGGAAAGTGAGAAAGACCGAGGGAGGTAGGGGGTTGAAAATGCACGTACCCCGCGTGCCGCGGTTACGGCCGGCACGACATCGGCAATGCGGCAGCCGGCGGCGTTTAATGTCGCTTCCACGTCGGCCAGTCGTTGCACCTGGCACCATTCGCCAACCCCCGCGGCTGGCGAACGCAGGTGAAACGGGGATGGCCGGCGATATTAAGGACGCGGCCGCTCGCCGGCCCGCGTAACACGGTTTCGAGATTGGGCACACGCGGCGCGATATCGATGGCTCGCGCCAACGGAGATAAAGACCGATGGTGAACGATCGTTACGCGTTATCTCGAACGTGCTACTTCAGCACCGAGAGGCGCGATAACGAAGAGCGATAAGACCCGGACCCGGAAGCCTCGCTTCGTCGAGGGAACGTTCGGTTCTCTTCTTGGCGCTGGTTATATTTCATTCGCACGATTCCCTTCTAAGTCTCTCGAGGAGGGGATGGCTTTGGCCGAGTGCCGATTATCTTAATCGGCGATTAATTCACACGATTTCGCATAATCAATATAATTGCGCAACTGCATAATTCGTCGTTTCCCAATCTAATCTTTCTTTCTTTTTTTTTTTTTTTTTGTATTGGAGATGATAAATGAATCGCCGATTAAGCTAATTGGAGTTTGATCGAAGTCACCCTCGTGATAGCCTCGTATCGTTCGGAACAATCTTGTATAAAGTCATTAAGGACCTGACTCACACACAAGTTTATATATATATATATCGTAGCGAACCTACATTTCTCATGTATTTCTCGATAAGCTTAATCGCGCTTAATCTCATAAAGTTTATTCGTCTAACTAGCGACTAATTTTGTTATTCGTCATCTAGAAACGAGGCAATCCAGGGTTCCGGAGTATCTGGCTTAATTCATGAAAATCGCTAATCCATTTTGTTGAAAACCGCTGATTTCGTTGGAATTCAAATGGATTCTCGAGACGCAACTGGCAATTTACGATTATACGCGACCGCGGATGCGGACAGAGAAATTTATGTGTATTCTCGTGTAAAAATGATACAATTTCGTGAAGAAATAATACGATTATTTCAAACGTAACTCTATTTTCCGAGATTTCATGCGTCCCTACGTAACCTACCGTACCTCTCTGTTTTCGCTTGAATAATGTATAAGATTCCGGCGTATCTGTCCGTATTACCGCCTTGGCAGTTTGAGATTTACGACACACACGCCTTACCACGCGGCAAAGTCTTGCGTTTGAAAGAGTTTCGTTTCGTTTCTTCGGAGACGTCATATCTTTTGAAAAAGATATAACGAAACGTCTATGAATGATCACTGACAAAAAATATCGTCTCCTTATAAATATCTCGTTAACAATAATAATACATCTTATTGATCGCGGAATGGCGCGAAATGAATCGTATTTTATTACATTCGTATTCTACCGTGGAACGAATAGATAAAATCGTCGGCCCGTAAATACAGCTGGCACGATTAAATCGCGCACGGAAAGCATAAAAGTATAGAAAAGATTTATTGTCGCGAGAGAGAGAGAGAGAGAGAGAGAGAGAGAAAAGCGTGCGAACGAATAGTCGCACAGAGAGGCACGGAGAGAACAATTAAAACTATGAACAAATCGTAAAAGGATGAAACTCGTTAGCATCGCAGTCGTTCGTGTCGATGACTTTTTATCCATTCAGTTATTAAATAGAGCAGCGGAGTGTGCCGTGTCTCTCGTTTTTCATCCCGCCTCTCGTTGCCTCTGTGCCTTTCTCGTTCTCGCCTTCGTATCTGTCCGCAGAGACATTCGAAGTGCTAGAGTATCGATTGTATGGACCCTATACTCGGTAACTACACAGTGCAGCCTGTGCCGTCCGGATAACCCACTAACATTGATAATCCTCTCGCATTGTTCGGAAAATCTTTTTTTATCAGTTCCTTCCATTTTCTTTTTTCTTTTTTTTTTTTGCAGCGCCGCCGATACCACGCTCAAAAAACGATTCGTTACACGTTTGAACTCCTCGTAATCGAATCAACGGTTGAGAAGAATCGATTCGGGGATGGAATCCCTTGAAAGCGAGGAGGCGTCTTTGGCACGCGGAACGCGGCGACGGGGAATCGCGACGTGTAATCGAGAGGAGATTATAAAAACGACGCGCGCGTGTCTCGAGTCGATATTTTATTACATCGCAGGGGCTTTTAATTTCGATGAGGCATTGTGGCGTGTACCTATAAAAAGCTATCGGAATGACAAGCGCGAGGTAGTCGGGACGGAATTACTGCAGGCGTTTACCTAATCTCTCCGCAAGGTGCGGAGACGCACGGGCTTAATGCCGTGGCCTCGGCTCGTCGCGACACAGCCGCTTCGGAAACGCAGCTTTTAAAATTAGGTCGCAGCTTTATAATCGCGAAGTAGTCGAAGGTGGTATTTTTAGATCGCGGTTGTGTAGCCGAGCGTAGCGGTTTCTTCAAATTTCTCCCTCTTTCCCCCCCCTCTCTCTCTCTCTCTCTACTCCTCCTCCCTCTCGCCTTCTT